AAAGCGCATTCCTGAAGAAAATCATATGGAAGATAGGTTAATAGGTTCTGATAGAATACTTATCTCCGATCGACACAGACTATTTATCGCACTGAAAAAAGTGTGGATACGAGATCTGTTGTTTGAAAACCAGTTTTATGTATTAGACTTAAATTATATTTTCCTTCGATCACTACAGTACGTCTGGTACACATGAAATATATTTGTAACCCTGCAGAAGAAAAAGTGGCCTCAAAAAGGCCATTCTTTCTATTGAAACGAATCATATTATATATGCTAAAAATCAACCTTAAAAAAACGAACAAATGATTAAATAAAAACAAAAGCGGCAGTTTCTTGACAAGATCTAAATTTGCATGAAGACGACCGTCTGTTATGCTTTGGAATGTTTCACTCTAATTCAGCGTAAAACCATCACCCAATCATGGCTTGTTAAACACGGGCGAGAATCTGAATGTCTCAGATATCGCGGATAGCTGAAGGATTGATAAATAGTAAACCACCTTTAATTAATGCGACATCTATTTCGTGGGGGTAATTCTAAATTTGAGGTTGGTGGTTATCTGTTGCTTGATTTTACGAATGTTTACCGGAGTCTGAGGAAAATTCAAACATTCCTGCACAATCCGAGCTCTTAAAGGACTGGTCATTATTTGTTCCCTCAGGGAGGGGGGGGGGATTGGAAGATTTTGGTTATGTCACGATAGAAATGACCAGTTCTGCGATTTTCTTATGATTCCCCCGCCTCGCTGATTTTCTTATGATTCCCCCGCCTCGCTGACAGTTAATTGGCATTTATTTATCCCTTATACTCTAAAATAAACAGATCCGCTCTCCTTTTCCCCTGAAACCCATGTAATCATGCCCCCAAATTACCCCAACCCCCCTCCCGGCCCTCACTCTGTGATCAAGGAATGGGTGGTTCCTCAGGCTTCGAGAGTTTTCTGATGAATTCCAGCCTCCTGAACTTCTAATAGACTTTGTAATAAGGACCCCTCCCCACTCTGCAGAGATAAAAACTGTGAATGAGATTCATATAACACTATTTTTATCAGGAAACATCCAAAAGCAACTAAATTGAGATGCTTTCCAATTTTATTTGAATGAAAGGCAGTTTTAGCCAAATCACAATGTTGAATCGCTACACATATTTATCTATCACATTTTAGTTTAATTTTACGTTACTTTTTAGTTCGAGTACAAACATGTTTCCCCTAACACTGTTAATTGACTTCTGATGATAACAGGACTACTGGGATGGTGGTACTTCTTCAATCATAATCCGGGACACTGATTTCCATCCTGTGTAAGCGTCAGCCAGTCTTTCTCCAGAGCACTTGCCTACCCACAGCTCAACCCGATGATGATTGGTGACTGTT